GATAATCTAACCATTGCTCAATGAGGTAGCATTCCTCACATACCCAAATAACATTGCTCAAAGGCTGTGATATGTATCAATACCTTTTCCAACTGGCCTCTCCATCTGTTCTTGAACTTCTTTCTACAGAAGACAAAGCCTTTTTAAATTTACAGATAGAGCTGAAAAAGCAAACACCCATAATAGAAGCAACTCTCAACTTCTCCTTTCCATTATTTTCCCAAATTTTCTTGGTTCGAAATCTCATCAGCATCTTTAACTCCCTCTCTTCGTATTCAGACACCAAATCCTGCCAGTTCTTTTTGTGATGTATTTTCCAGTCTTACTTGTATTCATTCCTTTTGCCAGCATCCCATATCCAATCTTTTATTGTTTCATACCTGCATCTTTGAAATTACCACCAAACTGAACACTTCTGCTTTCATTATTAGTGATCCCCACTGACTACAACTATAATTCTAGCTTTCTAACCTGGAATTATAATTCTTTCACATACAATCTCTAGCACTTTTTTTCTATACTTATCCACTACTATGTGAATCTTCTGCTTTGGCTAAAATGGTCTAACTGGTATTTCCAAAAGGATCTGACACTTCAAATTTAAATGGTACATTGTATAAAAATCACTTGGCAAAACACAAACATTGCATAAGTATGAATTATTCTGTCTTGTGTCTACCTCTGGTCAATCTATTATCACCCTTTAATGGTTTAATGATTTTCTTATTCATATGCTCTGACCTTTAGTCTACTTCGAACCTTCTTCCTCTTATCTAGTTACCCAACTCCCACTTCTTTGATTTTAGATGTGTCATTTCTCTCTCTCCCCAGACCCTTTGAGTTGACACAACACATGGGCTTGTCAGTCACACTGGAAGTGAATGATAACAAGTCCCTCTCTTTAATGGATTATTGATAGAGGCTCAGGAAGGCCTATAGAAGGTTGAAAGTCATTGCCTCCTTGGAGAAAGAGATGCTAGAGTAGAGAACAAGAATTAAGAAGGGAGATATATAGACTCTAAAAGACAAATGTGTCCAATGCATCACTTTATTCAAAGTCAGAGATGCATTTACACAACACTTTTCAAATGAGAAACTCAGGACAGTTCTTGTTCTCTCAATTCTTGTTTTTATTTTTCATTATTGGGATAATATTGATAATGGAGAAAATGAAATAAGCATTGATAAGAGAGTCACTTAAAATATAGTCAGGAGACTATTACTGATGTAGGGCCTATGTACATCTTGTGCCTCCGTTCCAAAAGCTGCTATTGCTAAACTTGTGCTAAACTCAGCTCAAAATATCCTGGAGCCATAAACATCCTGGAATAACAACTTCTACACGGACACATATAGACTTTACCTCCTTCTTTATAACTTTTAGCTCCCTTATTTGCATGTGAGAACTAACCAATCTCTGTTAGCCTAGCCAGCAAGCCTTTATTTGTTTGAAAGAATTACATTGTGTGGGTTTGACCTTCATAAACCCTGCCTTTCTCTGTTCTCTCCAGAGCACAGTTTGGGTTGCTACCTGAATCTACATCTCTCAGATTGCACTCTTTTGTTCAAATAAATACTTTTAAATTTTTTTACTGCCTGAACCCTTTTTTTTTTTTTTTTGGTTAAAAATTTGTATATACATACATTGCCTGAACTAGGCATCATGCAGCTTCACAGTGTTCTCTTCTGTAGCCATAATATCTCTGACCTTTGTTTTCCCCTTGGGTTTACCTGAATTCACCTTACCTTACAGTCAACATTCTGATACCAGAAAGCAATAGAATTAGCAACTATATCATGGGAAACAAGAGGCATTACTGATGATTCCAAGTAGGGAAATGAGAGTGAGCATAAGAATTAATTTTAACACAGTAATAGATCTTATATATTGAACCTCACTATCAAATGAGAGACAACCAGAAAGGAAAATGCCTCTTCACCTTTAATTGAGTGACAAATCCCAAACAGCTGCTTATTTTGAAATTAAGGGAGGTCAAGTTCTTCTACCTGGATATTATGGGGTAGACAAAGGAGGGGCCTCAGAACTCACCACTGCTTTGAAAGATCAGGACAGGCTTGTTGCTTTTCTCTTCTGCAGGTCCCCCTACCTCTTCCATAGTAATTAGATGCCTAAATCTTATCTGTAGGTGTCAAGCAGAAACAATGCATGGTTTTCATGGCTAACCAATAAGATATAACCTTCTCTTTCCAAAGACTGGATTTTTTAAAAAGAGAAATCACGCATCTAGAATAAGTTTCAGAGCTAAAATTTAAATCCCTCATTTGTATAGCAGGATCTTCTCCTGATAACTGTATTCTTTGACGTCAATTTTAAATTTTTATAAATAAATACAAGTAGACAGTGAGTCTGATTAAAATAAAGATGCATGTGTTACTGGTATCAGTTTATTGTAGCATTGTAATTATTAAAGTCCTTTATTGTCACAAGGAAGAGTAAAGGCCAATTTTGATGCATATGTACTTAACCTTAATATAAATACTTTAAAAGAAAAAAAACATCCGGGCCTCTTTACTGCTACGCAGCTCTTTTGCATGTATTCCTAATTTTTCTATTGCCTTGGCAATTATACCCCAATTTGATGCTCCTTCCCCATTCTTGTGTAAATCCTCCAAAATAGTAACAGCAAACATTCAAAAACTATTGTCATACAGTTCTGTAAAAGACGTAAATAACTGGAAGTTTCAAAACTTCAAATTGAATAATTGCTGGTCAAGCCATAATTTGAATGAGCAAATTTTTGACTTGAATTATTTTAAACATAGAATTTGTTCTAAAGACTTAGGAAGGCATACAGTTAAGTTTTTTTCACACAGCTCTACTTAAATTATTATTAGAAAAAAGAAATTTAATTTTTTTGAGACATCTACCTTTTCTCCACCATAGCTCCCGTATCAGTATTACATATGCATAGACAGACCATCCACTGGGGTCCCAGAGTTCTTATATTTTCTCTGTTTTAACAGGATATGATACCTACTCTCAGCTTAGGTTAGAGAAAAAGATACCTTTTGTCTGTTTAACAAACAATAAAATGGCTTCAAGTGATAGAGCTGTCTTTTCACCTTAATTTTAAACACAGGTGAACTTTTCACTGGCAACTTTTCAACACGGTTCTTAAAACATCGACGCAAACATTCAAAAGGTACAGCTGAAGGGAGAGGGGAGTAAGAATCAATAACTGTGCAATTGCTGGGAAACGAAACCGTTATTCATCAGAAAATTAGAGGCTAGATCTAGCTATAACAAACCTCTTGATCCCAGTCAGGTCATGTGGATGGAAATTTACATTCAAACGGAGCACCGAAATAATTTCCCTTCTGGGGACAATAAAAATTACAACCTGTTTCTCAGCAGGGGTGGCATAACTTTTGAGTGGGGAGAAAGCTTGGCGTGCTCCAGAAATTCAAAGGGCAAGAAGCTGGTTTTCCATAGATAGACCCGTGGTGAAGGATATGTCAGGCCAGGGAGCAAATGTAACCCTGTACCAGCCTCTGAGGGATTCCCCAAGGAAAGCACTCCCAGCTAGGCCTTCAGAGCTCCATTATTTGAAGTAACCGCCTCTTAGGTCACAGATGGTACCAAATATATCGGGACCCGTTCGATTGACAGCCCAGAATTCCAACTTGGAAACCTAGTTCTTGGTAACAATGTGTCTTGAACGTCCTACAGAACAAATCCTTTGTAGTGTTACAACGCGCTACAAAGAGAGCCATTCACCAACCCAAAAAGGTCAAAGGGATGAACTAGGAGGAAAGAGTCTACATCCTTTGGATAAATTTACCCTTTCAGGTGCCTCGGAGAGTGCCAGTGGAGCTCGCGCCCGCACACTGAGAGGCCCTCCCTCCTCAATGCCAGTTGTAAATACCACCCCTTGGGCTCTCCGGGTGTTTCGGGTTTAGAGAGCTCGGAGGGACCTAGAGCCGCAAGCCGAAGCAAACCCTAAAGGTTGCCTAGCAGCGTTTCCGCGCGTCTCCGGCCGTAGGCGGAGGAATGGACCCATTCCGGATCAGTCCGCCGCCCGCGCGCCAAGCACACACCAAAACGCAGAAGCCTGGAGAGGCGCACGGATCCCAGACCGCTTGACGTCTCCAACGCTCACACTGTAGCCGGCGGGCGCCTCCCACAGTAGGTAAGTGGTGATGCCAGCTCATGTAGACTCGCCAGAACCCGTACAAACAGAAGTCTGCTGTGCTTTACCGCTGGCAGTTTCTTTGGTGCTGACACCAAGGCAAGCACGAGTGAAATGGTTCTGCACTCTCTCCTGCTGGCCCAGCCTTGTACTTACAAGTCCACGCTAAGAAACAGCTTCTGGCCACTTGTTTTGAATCCAAGAAACCAAAGCATGGGGCTGGGCTCAGGAGTGTTATTCTGCGAGTCTACAGGGGGAAGCGGGGATTCCCAGGAACACCACAGCCACGGGGAAAAGCAGCCCCTCCCGCCTCTCCCGAGTAAATAGTGCATGGGATCTGGCAAGGGCATGAAAGGAAACTGGGAAAGAAAGGATGAGACTGAAAAAAATAAAATAAAGAAGTGAAAGTTTCCACTTGTACCAGGCAAGAGGGCCGGGAATGGGGGAGGAATAAGAATGGAACAAAGTCCTAAACCTTAAGTCCAATTTCTAGCAGTGGGGCGAGCAGGTGGGAGCCATTACTTGGCGCGGCGGCTGATTGTAGTTTATTTTTCTGTGTGGATTCCCTCCCATCCCACCCCAGAACGGCCAAGTCTTAAACTTTCACCGCGAAAATTTGGGGAGAAGAAGCAGCTAATTGCTGGGACAAAACTAATTCTGAGGCCAAAGTTAGAGCCAAAGTCGCTTCTCACAGACCTGGGAAGTTTCTTGTGCCCTCCTATCACGCTGCAGGCGCCTCTTTGCACTGAGCGCGCTCCCTCTGGGCAGGGGATTGGCGGTAGGGAGGGGGGAAGAGGTCTGGAAGCCTCGGGCAGAGCAGCTGAGAAAGTCAGAGGAACACTAGCAAGTTATCAGAGGCGTTGGTTCCAGAGGGCAGGGGGAGGCAGAGTGGATAAGGCGGGCCTACTCGCCTGCTGCTTCTCCATCATCATCGGCGGCAGAACTTGCACTTGATGATCTTCTTAAAGGCATTTTGGAAGTCCTTATTGAAGTAGGCGTAAATGACAGGGTTGAGCAGAGAGTTGGAATAACCTAGCCAGTTGATTATGGCGCCCAACAAGGTGGGCATGTGGCAGCTGCTCTCGCAGAAGGGCAAGACCAGGGCCACGATGAAGAAGGGCAGCCAGCAGAGGATGAAGGTGCCCATGATGATGCCCAACGTCTTCACTGTCTTCCTTTCGCGGGCCAGGGCCATTTTGCGCTTGGCCTCAGCGTTCCGCTCATTTTTCTTCTCGAAGGAAGCGGGGGCACAGGTGACAGCACCGGTCTCGCTGGGCAGCGGCAGGTGCTCTTTGGAGTTGCCCAGTCGGTGAACTTCGATAACCTCCAGGGCGGCGCCGTCATCGCCCTGTCTCACCGCTCCATTGGCGCACTGAGTCCCCACTGCCTTGTTCTCCACGCCCAGCCTCCATTCTCTGCTCCCCGGCTCTCCATTTACGCTCTTCTTGGGCTGCGGGGCTGGCGATGCCCCAAGGCGGGTGTCGGCTCTCTTTTTCTCCACCTTCTTGACTGTCTTTCGGATGCGGAAGCGCGCGGCTCGGAAGATGCGCCCGTAGAGAACTAGCATGAGCAGCAGCGGGATGTAGAAAGCGCCAAATGTGGAGTAGATAGTGTAGCCGTGGTCCTTGCTGATGGTGCACGCGTCGGGGTCCGAGCGGTCTTCGGGGGTACGCCAGCCCAGCATGGGCGGGATGGAGATGAGGAAGCCAATGAGCCAAGTGAGCGAGATGAGCGCTGCGGCGCGCCGGGGCGTCCTCTTGTTCACGTAGTCGATGGGGTCCGTGATGGCCCAGTACCTGTCCAACGCGATGGCGCACAGGTGCAGGATGGACGAGGTGCAGCACAACACGTCGAGGGCGATGAATAGGTCACAGGTGACCTGTCCTAGTGTCCACTTGTTGAGCACCTGGTACAAGGCGGCCATGGGCAGCACCAGCACCGACACCATGAGGTCGGTGACCGCCAGCGAGCCGATGAGATAGTTGGCCACGTTCTGCAGGGAGCGCTCCAAGGCGATGGCGGCCACCACGCACGCATTGCCCAGCACCGCACAGAAAATAAGCGTGCCCAGCAGCAGAGAGGTGACTACTTGGTAGCTGAAGGTCACGTCGGAGATGCCAGTAGCGTTGTCATTTGTCCCGAAGGGTCCTTCGGAGGATGTGGTGTTGTTGCCCTGTCCGGGGCTGAGCACATCCATGCTTGCACGCCCGAAGGGGGAGGGGGAGGGGAGAAGAGCTGCACCAGGATCCCCCTCGCCCCTCCCCCTGGGGTCTGCCGCCTCTCTCTCCTGCAGAGTTTCAGGGGGAGGGGATGCGGGGACTCAAGCAGGAAGTTCTTACTGCTCAGGCGAAGGCATCTCCGAGGAGCAGCTTCTGGGCACTCCGTGGGTTCTCTTAGTCCAGCGCGTTCAGAGACTCTAACTGGGAAACGAGTTGGCCGGAGAACAGCTCTGGGATATCTTGGCGACAGAGAGGTGGCTGAAACATCTGTCTCTCGCTGTCCATTTTATTTTGCCGCTGCCTAACTGGCTGCCGGAGCTGGAGTCTCTCCACTAGAAAACAGTCCCCAATCCTAGAAGTATCTGTAATATTGAAACCCCATCCTCCACGGTCACTCTGTGACCCTCTCCTCCCTCCTCTCCTTCCCTCTCTCTCACTCTATTCTCTCTTCTCTTTTTCTTAAGCCTCCTCCTTCCCCTCCCCGTCTCCCACTATCCTTTCCTTTCAGCCTCCCTCTCCCTTCTCACTCCCCTTTCTTTATTCCTGTGTGTCGCTCCGACAGCCAGTCTCCCTCCCTCCCACGCTAGCCCTCCCCTCCTAACACTTCCCCAACCCCGAGTGTCTCTTTCCTCTGGGTCCCCGCCCTACTCTCCCTCTAGCTCGGCATCTTAGCGTTCAAGCCCCTTTTATCAACAGACTTAGAACTTACACACACCTGATCTCCTGGTCAGACCAACATTACAAACAAATAACTGCCTCCCGCCCAGCTAAACTCGGAAGAAAAATCTAACAACCCATTGCTTCATATTTCTGTCGAATTCTTATGTAAAGTGAGCATTTCAGAGTGGCAATAGGAAATGAGCAAAGGAGATATTTGGAGGTGGACAGTCCTGGGTCAGTCTTTAAATTATTGTTAATTGATGGAAAGAAAATGGAGTATCTTAGCTTTTAAAAATCACCCTTGTTCATCATTTTACAGTTCAGCCTGACTCTCTTGGGGAGGATGTTGCCTGTGACTTTTTTTTTCTTCTAACCTTGGGGAATTGGGGGAGAAAGGAATCATAGAGGACGTGACAAAGGACAGGTAAATAGCTGCATCTCCAAATGAAGAAAATACTCAATTTACTCAGTTTAGTATGTATTCTACAAAAACAGGCATGCATGCCTTTCTATCATTATTTCCTTTTTAAATTCAGTGAACATTGCCATCTTCCATAGCTTTATGGCAAGTAAATTTAGGGAAGGGGATATTTTGTCTGTGTGTTGTAAATGAGGTCAGGCATTTCACACGGATTTGTGCTTTTCTTAACAGAGCCTGCAAACCTCTAAGGGAGAACTTGGTGGAATCCCCTGGTCGCTGGCCCCTGAGTTTCTCTAAAGCTCTGAAACTGGGATCAGTACCTGGGACAGCTCTAGGCAATAAGGGCTTATGCCGCCACCTTCTGGCAAATGCTTTAGAGCGCCATCTAGGAACACTTGTCTTGCAAGAATTAAGCAGGTATAGAGGAAATCTCCTAACTTCAAGAAAGAAAAGGACAGTTTTTAAAAGAAAAGTAACATTCGTTTTATATTTTCCTTCTGTTTTTTTTTAAACTTTCTTTTAGTGTCCTCTTTTGCTCTTAATCTTGTATATCAAACTTATTATATTTTCTAGCTCTTTTTGAAAGCCTGCAGCATGTGATTCGCACATTCTATCTAGAAATGTGGTTTTATAGACCCAGGAAAACACATTCACACCTTCATATGTGTTGGTTTTGTGCTGACGAAGGCTGCACTTTGGAACTCAGACATTTGCACACATTCACCAACTGGGGAAAACAATAATGGATTTTTCTAATGGGAATGACTTCACGCAGAAGACAAACATGCTGCTATTGGTTGGTTCTAAACTGTTTTCATTACCAAGAAAGCCAAATTTAATCTCATTTGAGCATAGATAAAGAATGGGATTCCTAATCCACTAGAATAGACATATAACACAACAAATTCACATACATTTTGATGCCATGGCTGAAATAAAGGAAAAGTGCCCAGTACAATCCCAAAAGCAGATGACTCTAGATAACATGCACAGATTCACTACAGATAGCAAGAGTCTTATTATGTTCAAATTTGCACTCTGACTTTTATAACTTTGAATTCTCCAAGACAAAACAAAATAGCAATCCCAGAGCATCAAAGAAATTCTAGTTAGGTCAATGCATATAGTACAGGGATATGTGTTTTGAAATGGATTGTTTTACAGTGCAGTGCTGGGCACAGTTTGCACCCAATCACTTCAGTATGGCACGATAATGAATCTGACATTTGTAATGATTCATGGCATTGAAAAGAAAGAGATAAGTATACATGGCGATTCTGAATACAGACTCTGAAGAAGTCTTTTTAAAATTTGTGGAGGTTCTCATTCCCCCTTTCCCTGACAAATACAGAACTAAATAACTTTGTTGCAGGTCCAAAAATTAAAATAGGAAAATAATTAAAATCTGAATTCTCCAAAGAAAACTTTGGAAATATAGTTGATAAACATAAACAAAGAGTAAAATAAATTTAAATTTTAAAGAGTAAATATATACATATCACTATATATACATATACATATTTCAATATTAAATATATACACAGATATAATTGAATAGAATTGTGTCAGATTTAGCACATATAAATAAATATATGTCAGCAAATATGTCAGTCAGCAATTGTACATTTTTCTATTGGATCCCAAATGGTTTAATAAATGAAATTTTTCTTTTTCTTTTTCAAGAAAGCTAAAATGCTATAAACCTGGAGTTAATACTCATGAGATCTGGCATTTGCTATTCTGCTTCGATATTCTACAATGCACCATTTTTTATTCAAGTTGAAAAAAATCTCAAGCAGTTTATATTTTCCTTAGAAATAATGTACATAGTATTGCAAACATTTTATTTTTTAAAATTTATAATATGTTTTAGACATTCTGATAAACATTAGGAAGAAAACAGAAGTATCAAAGGATATGCAGCGCTGACTGTGGTTCCATACCCTTAAAGTGACCAATAGATAATTTTGTATAACTTTTATTGAATAATACTATGACATATATTTAAAGCAGAATGATGTTGCATTTTTCATGTTCACCCTTTGCCAATTCTTCTATGTTTAACCCTTAAAGATAAAGAAACACACACATGAAAAAATATTTTTTTGCAAACCAAAGGTCCTGGATAATTAGTTATGCTCCGGTTCTTCATAGCCTCTGAAATTAGCCTAAAGAAAAGCTAGCCTTAAAGCAGATATTACTGATGTCATTTGAAAACAAAAGTTCCAGTGATTCTGCTTTTATTTCTTGTTTGAATTTAACTGGATGCAAGTATGAACTTGTCAGTTATGGATCTAGGGTATGATACATCATCCATCATATGAAATTTCTCTAAAGTAGTTTATGAGAGATAAAGATTTTTAACATTTCACAGGAAATTTGATACAAGCCCAGCATTTCAATATAGTTCTTTGACCAGAGAACTACATCTTTGACCAGATAAAAAAAAATTAGGCTGAAGTTTCACTGTAAACTCTGAATGTCCTATCATTACTGCAGGCTCAGTAATGGTTGAGGTTTCTCAGTAATTGATATGTTTATCCATAATTTCCAAATTACGGCTGATTTTTCTATTAATGAGTCAGTAACCTATACAGTAAAGAGCTGAAATTTTACTTAGGAGATTACAAAAGTGACTTAAAAGCTCCTATTAAAAAAGTTTTGACCTTTTTTTCCAGGCAATTGGAACTAGGATAGATTATTTTTTAAACTAAAAACACTATCCTGAATTTAATTTTCCTCAATCCTCAAATACTAAAGCAATAAAGCAATTGAGTTTTACCGGAACAGTGAATTTTTACTGGAACACCAAAAAAAGAAATTTCTAAGAGAAATGTTTGCTCATATAATTTAGGAAATGTGATTATCAGTGAGAATTAACTGGTCATTTATAAGAAATGCAACAACAATGCAAGAGAATAAATTTTCTTTTATAATTGAACTGTTTTTGTATGTGTCTAACTCTCGTTATCCACTTTCCTCTGACAGTATCATTCCTTCACTGCTATTACTACACTGTTAGGCACTTCTCCAGAGATTCAGAACTGGCTTTTCAATGGCAAAACACAAACAATGGAAGCCTCAGTCTCTGCTCTTGAGAATTGTAGCTTTGGCTTGATTCACTTAGCATGCATGCCAAAACACAGCATATAGAAAGTAAAAGCATGTATTCACTAGGTGTGTGACCTTGAGCAAGTTATTTAATGCTTTTGTTTTCTCAGTAGTAAAATGGGTGTAATAATAGACTTGTGAAGATTACATGATTTAATACACTGCTGGCCCATAATAAACACTCAATAGAGGTTAAAAAATAATAGTAGTAATGGCGATGTAAAGTAATAATATTCTCTCTTTACTAATAATTTCTGAGAAATGTGGAGAAAGAATTATGTGGGGTTAGTAAAAGATCAAGAGCTTGAATAAAAATTAAAGCCCTTTCAGGTGAGGATTTATTGTGAAAACGGTTAGCTCATGATTGTGGCATTCTCCCTATTCCTTAAAGTATTTGGAAAGCTTTCAATTCTCTAGGAAGCTCTGAGTACAAGACAAATGATAAAAAGGCATGACCTCTGCATTAGGAACTTCTTGGCTTAAATCAGAAGTTATCGAGGGGGCAATAAAGAACATGTCAACAAAAGTTCAATAATCAGTCTTGAATAGTAGTCTGCCCTTTTCCTGGGAACTCGACCATTTGTTCAAAAGTGTAATAAATAATTGAAATTCACAGATCCCAGTAAAATGTTTAAAAACCAAAGGCAAGGCGGTATCCACTGTTCCTTGGAGCCCTCCCCACTCCCAGAGCATGAACACAACTGCGATGTCATTAAACTAGATAACAGAGATTGCTCTGCCCGGAGGATTCCCTGAAACCCCGCCTCCCCCAACTCGCGGCCCCACCTAAGTCACATTCAGGTGTATCCTCAGCAAGTCATGTGCTCCTTGCTGAGACTCACACTGGAGGCAGCCTCAGTTTCTAATGTGGCCTTTTGAGGCAACTATAAGCACAGTGTCTGTGGATTGCTTGCTGAATCTTAACAGGTGGCCCCAGAGAGGCAGAGGCTTGGGCTAAGTTTGGCCTGCAGCTGAACCCCTCTCAGGACTGTGCTGCTGGACACCCACTTCACAAACCCACACTAATAAGACCGAGAGACTTAGGATCTTTGCTTAATACATAGAAACAGACATGGAAAGGCAACCAAAATGGAAAGACAAAGAAGCAGAAACCATATGAGAAAAGAGAATAGAGATCCGGATATAATGGAGTCAAGTAATCTAACAGATGCTGAGTTCAAAACACTGGTT